GGCGTGGTGCGGGGCCCCTTTTCCACGGGGAGGGCCCGGGGCCCACCACACAGGGCATTGCGCCCCTGCCCCGGGCGCAGCAGGCTCTCACCCCTCTCCTTACACAGCCCAGGAGCCCCGAGGGATCTGTTCTCACTTGACCACTCGCCCTTCGCCGCCAGGAAGGTTCTCATCCCCAAAACCCAGCCCCAAGGGGCCCCACTCCACCCTTCCCCAGGCCAGGCCCTACACAACCCTAAGGGAACAGTACTCAGATGAACTGGCCATAAAGCCAGGTGTCTGAAAGGCTGCCTGTGTCCCACAGGTAGATGTGTTCCGTGAAGACCTGTGTACCAAGGTAAGACCTGCCCCATCAGCACCCCATCCCTACTCAATTCCCACTGCTTAGCCCTTCCTTACTGCCTAGGAAGGACATTTGATTCTGACCCCCTCCCCCCCAACTTCTCCCACCTCCACCTCATTCACAGACAGAGAACCTGCTTGGGAGCTATTTCCCCAAGAAGATTTCTGAGTTGGATGCATTTTTAAAGGTACTGGGGCTGAGCAGGGAGCTTTATAAAGAGTAGGGGCCAAGGGGGAGACTCTAGGGGCCACGAGGATGCCCTTGCCTCCAGCCTCCCTCCTACCCTGTGCCAGGAGCCAGCTCTCAATGAAGCCAACCTGAGCAATCTGAAGGCCCCATTGGACATTCCAGTGCCTGACCCAGTGAAGGAGAAAGAGAAGGAAGAGCGGAAGAAACAGCAGGAGGCAAGCCAGGAAGAGCTGGGAGGAGGGACCCAACGATGGGGGGAAGTAGCCTTACACCTGACTCCCAAGAGCCATTCTTTCCCTGCAGAAGGAAGACAAGGATGAAAAGAAGAAAGACGATGAAGACAAAGGTACCACTATGGTGGGAAGGGTCTTATCTCCCAGGAGCTCCTCCTAAAGGATTCCACTTCCCCACCCCTCACTCAGTCCCAGCTGTGTGACTGACCTATTGCCCACTCTCTAGGTCCTCCCTGTGGCCCAGTGAACTGCAACGAGAAGATCCTGACCCTTCTGCAGCGCCTAAAGCCTGAGATCAAGGATGTCATTGAGCAGCTTAACCTGGTGAGCCCTCCTACTTCACTTCCACCTCTAGGCCTTAGGTCAAGCCCTTGTCTTCCTTGGCCCCTGCCATTTAGGGCATGGCACCTGCCAGGTCTTAGCAGGAGAGGGCATAGCCACAAAGTCAGAAGTTTAGGCCCTGGGGCTCAGGATGGTCTTGGGATACCTCCACCCAGGTGGAGGTATGGCAGGAAGCAAGCAAGGAAGGACAGGAAGTTGGGAATTGGGTTGAGGGGTTGATGTGGCTTTGATGCTATTCCCTCCTCCCAGGTCACCACCTGGTTGCAGCTGCAGATACCTCGGATTGAGGATGGAAACAATTTTGGAGTGGCTGTCCAGGTTAGAGCACTGCCTCATTCCTCTGCCCTCCTTACCTCTCTAGTCCATGCTGTTTTCCACTTTCCTCCTTGAATTCTTTCCCCAGGAGAAAGTGTTTGAGCTGATGACCGCCCTTCACACCAAGCTGGAGGGATTCCACACTCAAATCGCCAAGTGAGTGTCTGCCCAATTGCACCCATTACACTCTCTGCCTTTGGCTTGGATAGAGGCTTGGTCCCACTCCACACCCTTCTATTTCCCACAGGTATTTCTCTGAACGGGGAGACGCCGTGGCCAAAGCAGCCAAGCAGCCCCATGTGGTAGGTGAGACCCAGGTGGGATGTATGAAGGGGAGGACGCATTTGAAGTCAGCCCTGACCCAGGTCTCCCACAGGGTGATTACAGGCAACTGGTGCATGAGCTGGATGAAGCAGAGTACCGGGACATCCGGCTAATGGTCATGGAGATCCGAAACGCTTATGTGAGGAGGAGAGGGTGGGGCAGGGGTGGGGAGGGGCAGCTTTCCCAGGCCACCCATCCCCCGACTCTGCAAACTGGGGGTGAAGGGTGACAAAGCTCTGTGTCTCTACAAGGTTAGAAATGAGGCACAGAGCCACTGGGAACTTATGGCTGATCCCCACTCCTCCCTGGTCCTATAGGCTGTGTTATATGATATCATCCTGAAGAACTTTGAGAAGCTCAAGAAGCCCAGGGGAGAAACAAAGGGAATGATCTATTGAGAGCTTCCTCTTATACTGTAGTGCGTCCAGCAGAGACCTTCCTGTCTTTGACAGGGAACTTCAGACTGTGCCACCTTCTGCCATTTGAGGTTTCTCCCTCACTTGCCTCTTTGGCACAATAAATATAGTCATAATGGTATCCACTAGCTCAAGTCTCTTTATTGGATCCTGACACACACACCCCATGGCCCTGGCTCAGGCATTTCCATTGGTGGGACCAACCCACTGAGTGATTTTGGTGTTGAGCTGCTGGTTGGTCCAGTCCTGCCGGATGTCATCAAGGTGGCAGTCAAAGTCCACAAGGTGCTGCTGGGCCCGGCTCTCCAGTAGTGCTCCCACCATCTGTCGTGACTCCTCCCAGTCCCTCCACATCACTCTGAAATAATAACCCTCACGGAGGTCAAACTCAGCAGGCAGTGGGGCCAGACATAACAGAGGTTAGGTCTAAAGCAGCGGTCACCAACCTTTCGGACCTCAAGGACCACCGGTTGGCAACCACTGGTCTAGAGAATGACCCTTGGAACAGGACCAAGGACAGAGGCCCCGGCACTGGATTTCCAAGAAGTAGAGGGAGTGGGGCACTCACAAGTTCTTGTCCTTGGGGACCCAGCGGAGACCATGGTTCTCCAGAACGATGACTGGGGGCACATGAGGCTGAGACACCAGTTTCTGATTATCCAACTGTGTAGATAAGGAAGGGCAGGTGAGAGCTTCAAGGATCCGCCTTCCTACTTTCTTTCCACCCGCCTTCTCCAAACCCAAGCCTCACCATAATAAGTACCGCATCAGGGAAGAATTCTGCAATCCGCCCAGCGATTTTCAAGGCTAGGGGCCCAGGGCTGTGTAGAGGGAAGATCAGAGGAGTGAGGAGCCGACTGGAGAGACCCTGTCCATCTGAGCTGTGCTTTCCAGATCTCACAGACATGGATGCAGTGATTGCCTTTCCCTGTAGTTAACCTGGGGGGTTCAGGTCTGCTTGATGCTTCATGCAGGACTGCTTGATGCTTGAGTGCTGTGGGAAACAGGTGCTCAGACACTGCTGGTGAGAGTGGAAATCAAAGGTGGTCTTGGGGGTAAGCTGGCATAACCATCCAAATTTAAACTGTACGCTGTACATATGCTGACCCAGATAGTCCACTTATAAAGAAATTACTGTAGGGCAATATAATAAAAAATCAGAACAACCTCAATATTTAGTATAGGCATTCAATAAATTATGGTACATCCTTATTCATATTACATAGCCTTAGCTTAGGTAGACCTTGGTGTAGAGATGGAAAGATGTCAGCTATTTATTAAATGAGAGAAAAGTACATTACAAACATATGTATACTTTGATCCAGATATATCATTAACATATAAGTAGATAATTTTTTCTACTTATAGAAAAGACATTTTGTGGTTTTAAGTTGCTTGCTGGGCTTCCTGTGTTCTTTTAGCAGTTGGGGGAGGGGCACCCCGGTTAAAACAAGTGTCAGCCTTTTCTTACACACAGTCATCCTGCCCACCCCACCGCCGCTCCTCCAGAGCGTCTTTACATTTCTGTTTCCTCGCTCCAGCACCCAACCTCGTGCCTGGTGTACAGTCCCTGCTCCTGAGCGTTTGATTAAGGAAAGATGGAAGGAATGACCCAGAGGAATTCTCTCGACGCCACCCCCACCCCCTAACCCTTAGCCTTCCGCCTCCGGCCACCGACTCACCTTTGGTCACCGACAGCCGCATTGGCATGGTAGTACCCAGCCAGGACCAGGCCGGCCTGCGCGCCCCACACATCTACCTGCCATGGGAAAGGGGCCATCAGTCGGCGGCCTGCGGGTGTTCACGCTGCTAGAGGCCGGGGCAGGCTGGGGCTGGGGGAGTTAGGGGGTTCACGGTGGGTGGTGCGCGCCCAGCAGCCGCACCTGGTGGAGGGCGACCTCCAGCATGACGGACAGGGCCAGGTGGCTGTGGAACAGCGGCACACAGTCGGTGAGGCACAGGCACGCTCCCGACTGCGGCGCCGGCGCCAACAGTAACCCGTTGACCGCGGCGTGCGGGTACCGGGCGGCGTGCAGGCACATCTTCCCGTAGGCCCGGGCCGAGATCTCCACCTCCCCCATGGCGAACCGGGTGCCAGCTCGCGTCTGCGAGGCTTCCTCCAGAGCCCGACACCCTCCCTGGGCCTTCCTGGGCCCCCTCGCTTAGGTTCGGTGGTGACCCTGATTGGGCTCGAAGGTGCCTTGGCTCTGGAGCCTGGCTCCAACCTGGCCCGGGAGGCAGGCGGCC